CCAAGGCTGGAACAAGAAAGCACAAGATGAGGCAATAGCACCTCATTCTACAGAGTTAGAAAGTACTTAAGAAAATGAAAAGGATACACTGAAAGAACACTAAACCAGCTTGAAAATGTCCCCTTGCCCAAAGCTAGGGGAATTTGAGCATCAAAATAAATGATGCACCAGGGTGCAGTGTTCTAAACCTATAAACTCAGCACTCTGGGAGGTTGAGGGAGGAGGATCCTGAGTTCAAGTCCTGCCTGGTCAACTTATCAGCTTAATGGGATTCTTTTCAAAACAAATAAATAGGGCTGGGAATTTAGCTCAGCGGCACAGCGCCTGCCTGGCAAGTGCGAGGTGACAAGTTCAATTCCAGGTACTGAAAAAAAAGAATATCTCAAAATAAATAAATAAAAACGGCTGTGGATATAACTCAGTGTAAAGATCTTCAGTTCAATCCCCAATACCACCAAAAAAATAAATAAATAAATAAGGTAAAGATAAAGAGTAAAGTAGGAATGCCTTACTCTATATTAATATTAATTAATTAATTAGTTAATAGCAAAGAGAAACTTTTTTCCATACAAAAGATGCCAACTAACAAATGTAGAAGTAAATAATGGACTTGGCAACTGTCATAGTAACAATTTTAAGCCAAGAAACATCAATGGTGCAAAAACCAATGGGAGTAAGTTTGATGAGGATCAGGATATTTATATAGTCATATCTCTCCACAAAGTGCTTTGTAATTGCAAAAAGAAAAGAATGATCTACTGTGGAAAAACCTAGAAGACACCATTTTAATCAAGTAATACAAAGTTAACATGACCAGTAATGGAATAAGAACAGGCATCACTTCTACGATTCTCTACCAAAAATCCAGAACTAGGACCTAACACGAGCAAACATCAGAGGAGCCCAAACTGAGAGACATTCCACAAAATAACTGATTATCCCCAAGGTGCTAAAGTCATGAAAATCAAGACTAAGGAACTGTTCTAGGTTTAAAAAAAAAAAATCAATGAGACATGATACCCATGGGCTGCAGTGTAGCTCAGTGGCAGAGGCTTGCCTAGCTGTGCCAGGCCCTAGATTGATCGCTAGCACTGCAAAAATAAAATAAAACAAAAAATGATAACTGAAAGCAACAACATATGATTCCAGACTGAATCATTTTACTATGGAGAATATTATTGGAGGGGCTGGGGATTTAGCTCAGCGGCACAGCGCCTGCCTGGCAAGCTCAAGGTCGTGAGTTCAATTCCTAGTACCAGAAAAAAAACACCAAAAAAAAAAAAAGAGAGAGAATATTATTGGAACAACTAGTCAAAGTTGAATGGAGTCTAAAGATTATCACTGATCTTGAATTTTTTATTTTAATGGTTATATTAGAATTTCTGGTTTTAATGGTTGTATTAGAATTAAATAAGAGAATACATTTCTTTGTAGAAAACTCACATTAAAGTTTTTGAGGACTAAGAGCTATCAAGTCAACAAACCACTTAGAAATAATTCAGAGGAAAAAAAAATATTCTCTGTGCTGTTCTTGCAGCTTTTCCATAATTTAGAAATGATTCAGAACAAAAATGTCCCAAAAATGTATGTCGGCTGTAACCAAAAGCTCTGACTCTTCATTTATCTCACTAAAAACAAACGCTACAGCCAGCTCAGGTGGTCAAACCTGTTCATCCTGACTATCAGCGACAGAGTGCCAGGCATAGGCTGGGCAAACACCTCTCTCTCCAGAGGTCAAGTCCAAGGCTGGGCAAGGAAGGGCTGGACCAAGGCTGCAGGCCAAGGCTTAAGTGACAAAGCTCCAAACTAAGCACTCAAGGAGTAGAGCAGAAGGCTGTGGCCTCTGGGGCCTGGGGTAGGAGGAGAACAACCCAAGATTCCTTCCACACCCAGCTGGGATCAAGACCTTCCCCGCAGGCCCTGCGCACTCAGAGAAGGTAGAGTTTGGGAAGGGAAGGGGAGAGAGGAAGTGGAGATCATAGAGCCTTTCACATTATGTTCACGTTTACTGATCTTATTGAAACCCTGATCTCATCAAACCCTGTCATCCTTCAACCTCTAAGTCATGACTCCAGTGCAGCTTCCCCAGAAGGGATGGGCAGGGACCAACTGGTGTGTAGCTGCTGGAACCAAATGGGGGCTCCCTTGGGAACCAGTTCTTCAGTGGTTGGACACAAAGAGTTTGTGAGGTTTGGTTTTTTCCCCCCAGCAGTGCTGCTCCTTCACCTTTTCATCTCTCAACAGGTTTGATTCTTCCCTGGGATAGTTCTGCAAATGTCAAGAATGGAAAAGAACTCAACATCTATTGATGTGTATCTCTCCCAGGATATAACTGTGAACTGCCGTCCCACAAGGGCTGTACAAATTCACACTCATGCCACCCTTTCTACCCATTCCTTCACAGTGCCTAATTAGTGCTGGCCCACAGCATGTGCTGCGTGGCTGGCGTGTTTCTCTGCATGGGTACTGCCTTTGTCTGCATCTCTGGAAGGCAGAGAGAAGCCCCACCACCACACTGCTTCCACCCATTTTCAGCCTGCAAAAGCTCCTCCTGAGGCACCTTTATCCTAAATTAGGGTATTCATGTAAGTAGGTGTCTAGAGTGACTTGTTACTAAGAGATGGATAAGACATCATTTTCTACAATAAAAAATTGAAAGGTTCTTGGCCCCAGAGCAACAATGGCCCATAGAGGTAAGAAGCCAGGCACTGGGGATTGCAAGGGGAGAGACAACTTCCTAGCCCACCGGAACCCACCCACGCCCACCCTCACCCCCACACACACTCCTATGTGTGGGCACTGTCCAATGTACTGAAAGGGTGCAGTTTTCAGCAACAGGGAACAACAGCTCCATCAGGGGTATACAGAAAGGATTAACAGGAGGCATTTCTACTGCTCAGATATTCAGCAAATCCTGGGGAATGCATACCTGCATCCTGACCAGAGATTGTTAGATCTAGATAAAGAACTGAGCTCTGGGGAAAGCAGAGGCAGGGCTCTGGGCTTGCAATCTGGATTCCAGAGCTCTGAGGCAAGTGAGGGAATCCCCAGGCAGAGCCAGCCCAGGGCTGGAGCTCCTGCCTCCAGGAGCTGCAGCAGCAGCTATGAAAAAATGCCTTCTGATGCTTGTCAGGACCCTTTTCCAGTTGTTCTATCTGAAAAGCATCTGCCCGTTATGGAGCCCACGTCAACATCACCTTCAGCCCACAGAGCTGGGGTGCTCAGGGCAGCCCCAGATCCTGGCCTTTCAGCCCCTGAGATCTAGGTATTAGCAAAGGGCATCGTGATAAGATAGCAGCCAGGGACATGTCTGCTCCTGCCTGGGTCTGGTATCTGACCCCAGTGTGACCTCCCTCTTCTCCAATTTAGGCCTGACTCATGCTTCCAGAACGGGAGCCCAAAGAGTCCTACTGCCCAGCTGTAGCTGACTCATGGCTGGTTCAGGGCTGCTATGGAAGGGGCTTGGGCCAGCTGTCAACTCACAGAGAGGAGACATGCACCTGCCCTTCCTGAACATCTGCCAATAATATGCCTGGTACCAGGTACCCCACCACATTTCAGTGGCATAATGACCCTGAGTTCACCCCTTTCCTAGAAAGGAGGAAAATAAGGCTCAGGGACGATCAAGCAGAGGTGACTTCAAAGCCCGATCTCCCAGCACTAAGCTACTCTCTTACCCTCAGTGCACTGCTTGGGGTCAACCAGCACCACCCCTGAGGATTGCCATGTCTTCATTTATTCTTGCAACCAGCATTTACAGAGGGCCTCCTCCCCTCTACTTCATGGCCCCTCAGACCCTCCTGAGGAAGCCAGAACTGCCTGAAAAAGGGGCACCAGGGTCCCTGGTCCAAGTTCCCTGCAACCTCATCTCAGCCAAGAGAAGGACTAGCAAGGCCTCGGTGGCTGGGGGACAGGTGTCTGGTTTGAACAGGGACATTCGCTGGGCAGCCCAAGCCTGCACCCAGCAGATACTCCAGGGGAGGTGTCAGCACAGCAGGGTGGGTGGGTGAGATGCCAGGGGAGAATGCAGCCTCCTCTCATTCCCGTGGCTTCAGGTGCTGGCTGAGTCAGTCCTGAGTGACTCAGGGGCCTCATGGGGGCTAGGGCACATCTTTAAAAGCTTGTAATCACTGAATAATTCTCCTTTCAGCCCAGCCCAGGAGGGCACTCTTCACAGGTGCATATAGACGGCTTCCTTCGGTCTCCCCCGTGTGGTACTGGAGACCCTCCAGCGGTCACCTCCCTCATACACACACAGGTCACGCTGCGAGCACCGCCATGCTTTCAGACCCTCACTCCCTCAGATGCCCCCAAATCCCCAGGCACAGGTGAGATGGCACTTTTCAGGGACCTCCTCCAAGTGCCCACAGTTAACGTTTGCAGGTGTCCAAAGTCTGCAGGCACCTGCACGCTATCCGTATGGATGTGCACTTGTGTGCACTCAACACTCACATCCTCTGCAGACACTCAGGGAAACCACACACATGCCAGAAACACACAGACTGCCTGAGTGACATACTGTGCCCCGGTGTCCACACACACTCCTGCACAGCCCTGGATTTGCAAGTGGGGCCTCCAACACTACCACCACCAAGCGCACGTAAGCAAGGAGAAGCTGCCGCTGCTAGGGAGCTGCAATCTCTCTCCTAGCCTCTTGGGGGAGCTGTCAGGTCCCCAGCTCCAGCCCTGCTCGATGTAAGGAAGGCTTCAACCTGACAGTCCTCCCCCGGTCACACCTGCTGCCTGGGGTAGCACCACTGGGCTGCACCCTGGGACCCAGCCAGCCTTGATGAGGGAGCAGAGAGAGATTCTGGTGACCCTGGACTCCTGTAGGGTGTGGGATGACCTCCTGTTCAGATAGGCAGGGGCTCCAGGAAGGGAAAAGGGACAGCCTGAACCAAAGTGGGGAGAGTCCAAGCGGGGACAAGCGAGTGGAAGAGAACTGGAGGGCACCAGCGGGAGGCTGAGGAGGGAAGATGTGAGTGCTGTGGAAACAGGAGATGAGAAAAGGACTCAGGGGAGGGAAAGACGAAGATCGACCCCAGGAGGTGAGTAGGAGATGAGAAGGAAGAAGAGAACGGACCGTAAGGAAACAAGGGCCAGACAGGGACAGAGAAGTGAGGGGCAGGCTTGGGGCAGGAGGCCAGGGCAGGGCAGAGCCCCAGGACATGGGGCAGGCCCATGTTGCGCCCTGGCCAGACAGTGCCTTGTCCTGCCGTCCCTGGCCCCTGCTCTGCTTCTCTTTGCCCCTCCCTTATCCAGGCCCGGGATCTAAGGTACCTGAGCTTTGAGACCCCGCAGGCAGGCAGGACTCACCCACCCACACGGACGGCAGTGGTGTTGGGGTACACTGCCTTAGCACCTCGGTGGCCTGGCCGGCCACCTGCCTGGCACCCACACAAGAACTGCTCTCAACAAGACCCAGGCGCCTGAGGACAGCTGGGGAACTGGGAGGCAAAGCACCTCCTGAGGGGAAGGTGGAGGGAAAGGTTCCTGAGGGGAACTGGAGGGAAAGCACCTCTCATCCCCCCCTGGCCTAGCGGCTTCCCCAGAGTGTGGACAAAGCTGGAAGCCGAGGCAAAGCTCCTGCTGCCTAACTCCCTGCTGGCCTGGGGAACCCAGGTGAGTAGTAAAATGCAGAGGTGCAGAGCTGTCACTCTCATCCTTTATAACCTGTCCTTCTCTTCCCCCGGCCCTACTCACAGCACTGGATGGCTCGGCTGTCTGAGGGGCTGGCAGGATCTGAGAGGCCTCATGTCCCAGAGAGGAGCAGAAAGTGTGTGCCCCAATCTCCTGCGCCAGCTCTTTACTATGGACACATTCCCAGAACTCCCCTCCCTCCAGCCCCGCAAAGCACTCTCAGCTGATCAACACGCCCAGAGCCCACCTCAACCTTACAGGGGCCTGCAAGGGCCTGCTGGGCCCTGGGCTCTCTTTCCCCTTCTTTCTATGCCCCAGAACTCGGTGCCCAGACAGAAGCACATTCACTAATCAGACACTTTGGGTGGCAGGAAAAGGCATGACTCTCCCTATATTTCATCTGGGAACACTGTGGCTCAGAGGGGCAGCATATATACTCTGTCATCGTGTGGAGCAGACCGGCCTCTGAGACCCAAAGGGAGGGGCTGGGGGAGTCACTCTCACAGTTCTACCCAGCCTGCTCTTCTCCCACTGCAGCCCTCTCTCCCTCACCCTTGTCCTTCCAGCAGAGTCCTGGCTCATCGTCAGACCCTCAGCTCTGGGCTCCCCAAATACACACTCCTTGATCCTCCCACACCCACTGGCCCCCAGGAGCTGACACCTCCTCCTCACTCCTTTTGTGAACCTGAAGGCAAATCCCCCCCACCCTTCCCATAGCACTGCACCACCTGCCTCTGACCTCATCACTCCCTGCTTAGAACCTTCCAATGGCTCCCGCCTGCCCTTCAGGTAGAAGCACACTCCGGGTGGCATTCAAGACCCCCGCCAACACTCCCGGCTTCATCCCCAGCCTTTGTCCTCCTCTACCCCCAATGCCCACATCTGCTCTCAAATCATGAAAGGTCCCCAGCTCAGCCTGCAGGGCTCAGCTACCCCTCCCCATGCATCGGCAGCCCTCCAAGTGCGCCCCCAGAGTCCTGCCACCCCTGCACCTCCCCCTGCCTGGGCGTATTCACCTCTGCGTGTTTGTCTGGCTGCTCTCTGGTCTGTGACTCTGCAGGCCAGGACACAGTCAGTCCCTGCTGGGTGATTTCCCCAGCACCTCACACACCACTCAGACCAAAGAGGTGTCTTATAAATATCGCCTGAATGATTATTAGACCGTAATGATTTCGCTGATGCTGTGTGTCTGGGTCCCCTCACCATCTGCATGGGCCAAAGGGAAGCTCCCTGAAGGGTCAGGGAGCTGACTGTTGGTTTCCTCTGAGCCCACACCCATGGTTCCCTCTAACCCAGCCCCTCTGTGGCGTCTGTGAGGAGTAGCAGGCTCAGAGGGCCCATGACCACTCCGAGCAGAACTTGTTGAGCACCCAAGGGAGAGCTAGGCACATGCCGTGTCCACACCAGGCTCCCTGGGCTCCCACATCCCCTCAGACATCACAAGACAATGGATGGCCTTAGAGGGCCCTGCGTTCCTCAGCCTGCCTGCCAGTCACGAGGCCCCTGCAGAGCCACCCAGAGGCCCCAAGGTGACATCACCTCTTTTCAACAGAAGCTAGAGCAAGAAGATGATGCATGTGGGCCCTGCCCTTGGGAAGGTCCCAGGTTGAGAAATAAAGAGCCTGCCTGATACTGGGGCCCAGGAAGAGCCAGGCACACAGCCAGGCCTGGACATGGGTCAGGGATAACTACAGCGACCGTAACTATTCTCCATTAAGCACCGCTAAGGACAAGACTCCACGCTGAGCGATTCATAGATATTCTCTCATTTCGTCCTTACTGTAACTCTCCAGAGTTAGGTATAGCTCTTGTTTTACACACTGGAAATGACTTGGAAAGAGCTAGCACTTTGTGCCTCGTCACGTGGCTCGCCAGTGGTAGAGCTGGAACTCAAGCCCAAATGTGTCAACCCCAAAGCCTATATACGCCCTCTGCTCCTCACATCATGGTGACTCCAAACTCTGGGGCAGGGGGGTTCTTCTTTTCTCAAAAAAGCCTCAAGACTCCCCACTGCCAACAGCATAGCCCCTCCAAGCTGAGGCTCCCCAGTAATCTGGCTCCCGCCCGCCTGTTCACCATCATCTCCACCCACACCCACCACACCTTAGATTTCGGTCTTGCCTCTTTCTAAGTTTTCCTCTCTGAATCTTCCTTTCCGCTGCTCTTGCAGGCCCGACAGCCTGCCCCGTTCTACAGATAAGAAAACGGAGAACTCAGTAGGTTAAGTAACTAGCCCAAGGTCACGCAGCTGGGAAGCAATTGAGCCTGGTTAGAACCTCGGTCATTAGAACATCAAGTAATAAAGCATTAATTTGTGCCCCAGACAATTAGGGAATGGGAATTAGCTGCTAATGGTTGAGGGGAGACAAATCCAGCAGGTTTGGGAGTAAACAAGGGCCAGCTCGCCTTGAGAGGAAGGCAAGCTCTGGATGGTGAGCTTGAGAAGGGGAAGCCTAAGAGAAGTCCGGAGACAAGCAAGAAGAGGGAAAAGAAAGAGGCTTTCAAAATTAGGGAGACAAGGCCACATGGCGGGAAGAGTTGGCACCTTGGCATGGGGGTCACTTGCTGTCCCCCCAACTTGTTGTGTGACCTTGAGCAGCCTCTGTCTCTCTCTCCTTATAGTGTGGGGACAGAATCCCAGGGGCCAACCACTGAGTTACAGCCACAGTTCTTTTTACTTTTTATTTTGAGGTAACATCTCACTAAGTTGCTCCAGCTGGCCTCAAACCTACGATCTTCTCGCCTCAGCCTCACAGAGTCTGCGACCCCATGCCCAGCTAGCCCTCCCCTCTCTTGATGCCTTGTCAATGAATGAGGGAGAGATGAGCCTGGATGGTCTCAGGGCTCCCACTTGCCCTGACAAGCTAAGATTCTGATTGTGCCTATGCTGCTTCTGGGCCTTAAAACCCACAAAATCTGTTGCCGCACCACTGACACAGGGCAAAGGTTTGGACACCAAGCACATATAGGGGCCAGCAGCCAACGTGGCACCTGACAAGGTTGCCCAGGTCCTGCACATCCCTTCTCTCCATTAATCCCTCTGTAAGCATGTGTGCACTCGCTACTGGACCCAGCCTGCCCAGCTGGCACCCAGGGGAAAGGAGACAAGATGGCACTGTTGGCTCACAGGGAAGAAGAGAGTGTGCCCACCACCAGCTAAAATCCTAGGCCCACTCCACTCTCTGAGAGAAGAATGGGGTCCTTGGGGAAGGACAGAGAAACTTCAGGAATAAGGGTGGGGTCTCAGGCTTGGAGTAATTACCCTGCCGAATGGAAGAGCACTGGAGGACCAAGAGGAGCACCCCGTCACAGCCGGACTTAGAGTACAGTGCAGGCATCAGCAAAGGGACAGCCCTCCCTCAAAGCCTGTGGCACAGTGCGGACGCTGGGGAGAACTCAGAGCCAGCAGGCCCAAAAAATGCATCACCAGAGGCTGTGGTACACACATGTGCACACACACACACACACACTCATTTGCACGCACAAGCCTGCACAGACCCCCAGCTTGGACCACCATGCCCCTTCTCCCAGATAGAGCCCTTCGAGCTGCTGTCCCTCCAGAGAACACGCCCTGCCGGTGACACACAACCTTGGAAGTCACAGCATCTTGCTGTCTCTCGTTGGCCCTCCTGTTGCAGTTCTGATGTGCTTGCTTCCTTTCTGACTCAAGATGTGCCAAAAAGAGGCCCACCCAGCTCCACAGGGCTGACTTCCACCTTCAGGAACGTGAAGGCGGCTCTCCTCCCTCCCACCCATCTGACCTCCAGCCCCTGCCCTCCAGCACCTCGTTCACCACCTAGGCTACCTAAAGGCAGAAGGGAGCACTCGGGAGCCCACAGTCCTCCAGTCTCCCCAGGCCCTGAGACGGATCCCAGGGCTAGGAGCACCCTCCGCCTGCAGGCTGTGAAAGCCCAGGCCGATCTTCCATGTTCTACAAGGTCTCCGTGAAGAGCCTGTGAGCAATGCCTGCAAAACCCTCAGTGACAAGCCTGTACTTTTATCATTGTCTGGGCTTCGTGTTACCTCCCTGTGCCCTTACGCTGTCACCGCCCCTTCTAAGTAAGACGTCCTTCTTAAAGTCTGCTTTCAAGGCTTCACGCCACCTCCCTGGATCCTGTGGATGGAGGTAGATATAGGAGGCTCGAAATGGCTGAGTGGAAGAGCCACCTCCCTGCAGGAGGACAGGGCCAAGAGGGAGATTACAAAGGCGCCGGGCCCAGGGCTGCGACATACACCTGCCACAGCTCCCGGGAGATCGGGGACCTGCCAACTTACCCCACCCCATGAGCTCATGGCTGCATCTGCCAGACACTGGCTCCAGGAGCAGGTGCTGACAACACGGCCTGGGCGCAGAGCCCAAGACGGGAAGACAGGAAGGCTGCCGAGAGCCGACAACAGAGCTGTCCCCCTGGGGCTCGTACACAGCATCCCTCCGGCCTCCACACAAGCCCTGCGGCCGCAGCCCTCCGTCTCTGCTCCTCCTCCCCTGGCACTGCCCATAGCCTCACTGCCTCTGCCCTCTCCCCAAGAACAAGGGGTGAGCGCAGCATGGCTTACTCTTACTCCCTGGCAGGCAGGCTCCCCTTGGCCTTGCTGCGGCCCTGGACGAATGCCCTTGTTTGCTGGGCGGGAGACAGCCAAATGCTGTCATTCCTGAGGTTACTGCGGGCATGCACCTAAATGCCAGTTATAAAGGGACTGCAAGTCCCCAAATAGATGGTTCTGTCCCAGTCTCGGGCGTCCCTAGAGGTAGGATAAACCAGGAATCAACTCCAGCCCTAGATTTCTCCTGAGTCTTCATCTTCAACCCCTCCTTCCCCAGCCAATTCCTGGATACACCTTCCCAAGTAATCCCCTCAACCGATGCCTGGGTCAAGAGACCCCTCACCAAGCCCCGGGCAGACCCACACCTGCAGCCTGCAGCTTCCTGAACCCAGCAAGGGATACCAGCTGGCAGCCACAGGGGCTGAATGTCAGGGGCTCCCCGTGTCCCCTGACTTGCAGCCAAAGGCTTCAGGTCAGCCTGGGACTCTGCCTGTGCTCCATCTGCTCCCCGTCACAGCACAGCCAGACACTTACATGTCCTAACTCCTGTCCCCACCAGGGAGCTCCTACCAGGGCCCTTCCCCTTCTAGCTCCCCATCCTGCCTCATGGCCCGCTGCTGCCACAGGGACCCCAGGCCAGCTCAGCTGTCCCTCCCTCTCCACGCACTTCACCAGTTGTAGGGCGGGGCCACCTCTACTCCCACTTGAGAACCACGAGAGACGTGGCCATCTCCTTGCTCACCAGAGAAGTCCTCAGAAGCCAGCTCTCTTCCTCATACAATGGCCCACCACACACAGACATGCATGTGCACACACACATGCACACTGTCCTCCCTCCCCACCCACCTCCCTCTCCTTTCTGTAAAGGAAGGGGTATGCTGAGCCCTCCTCCAGCTCAGGATCTCTATCTGTGGTTTTTCTCCACGGCCCAGGCCCAGGCTCTAGCCCAGAAGCAGTCGGACACAGACGGCCCCTCTGACTCCTGAGTAGCGACATAGTGGCTATAGGAGTATCCTTGGTCTGTACCCAGAATCTCCCTCCACCCCACCTCAGGGAAGCCACCCTTCCTCCTCCCTCTCCCCCATACTCCACACCCCACAGAGAAGACAAAATCCCTGGAGAGGAACACTTGGCTCGAGGCCACACCACATTTCCATGTCATTTTCAAGTGGCACCAAGTGGGCTAGGCAAGCATGTGGCTGGACAGTCCCCACCCAGGAGGCAGAGTGAATTCCCAGCAGCTCACTCAGCTGGGTCTCTGGGGTGGGGCCCCTAGGGACTGGCCAGTTGCAGAACAGCACGGCTGAGATGCCAGTTGCCTGCTGCTGCCCCCACCCCAAGAGCCTTGTTCCTCCCCAACGCACACCACACTCCCCTGTTCTCAGAAGATTTCCCTGGTCAACTCCACCCAACGCTAACCACTGGCTTACTCCGAGTCCCCTCAGCACTTAGATCCAAAATTAGCCTGTGCCCATTTGTCCCAGTTTATATGTTACTCTGCAAATGTTCTCACAGAGCGGTGCCTTCCCTGATCATCACTACTGCTAGTTGTGAGAGTTCCCAGAGTTAATTAAGCCCATTTTGCTAGAGGATTAGTCCCTACCCTTAAGGAGTGCCAAGGAAGATTCTGGAATCCAAGCCACATCTCTTTGGTGCAATTTTTTCCTCTTGATAATCAAGCCATCTCACTCGATGCCTGATTAAACTTGATGAAAATGCCAACGAGCGGCTTCTCCCTACATTCAACTTCTTTCTTACTTTGATTGTTGGGGAGGCCCAGACAAGGTCATACGGGAGCAAGAATCTGTGGGTGTACCCGGAAGAGATCAGCTTCTCCTTAGAGGGAAATTTCTTCCTTCAGAGTACTGCAAACCCTTCCAAGACCAGGTCCTCAGCCACACACCTGTAATCCCAGCAGTCTGGGAGGCTGAGGCAGGAGCACTGCAAGTTCAAGCCCACTGTGTGCCATCTAACAACTTAGCGAGCCCTTGCCTCAAAATTTAAAAATAATTAAAGGGCTCAGTGCAAAATCCCTGGGTTTATTCCCCAGTACCCCAAAAAAGAGGGGTTTACTCTTCCCAGCTCAGGAACTCAGCTGCCCACAGTGGTTCGGCGTCACTAGTGTACCCAAGGCCCCCACAGGCCCCAGCAGGCTGTGGGAGGAGAAAGGCCTGGGATGGAAGTTTGGCTCTAGCCCCTCCTGACTGTGTGGACTGAACCGTTCTGGACCTGTATTTCACTGCCTGCAAAATGAGCACAATCACAGGAACACTGGAAGAGGTGGTAATGGCTGGAGCTGAGAAGTGTCAGTCCCCTCAGTGGGCGGGGTGCTATCCGCTATTTTGGTGCAGCCTCCCTGCTCCCAGCCCACCACTATCCTCAATGAGGTCCACACCAACGGTGGGATGGTGTATTCCTGAGAGTCAAAGATTGCCGCTGGGATTCAGGGTTGGGAGTTTTTTGCCCCGTTCTCTGGTCTGCTTCTGTGGGAAGCATTTTCTGATATCCTCATCCCACCCATGGGTCCGGCTAGCTAAGGCCCACGGTCATAGGAGAAGGAGTGAGGTTCCTCAGCCAGGTGCAGATCCACAGGAGTGGAACACAAGGTCTTCCCTGCACCCTGCTGTCCAGCACTTGTCTCCACATTTCTTGCTGCTCCTGGGTGCTGAGCTTGGACCCAGTGCAGGCAAATGGCAAAAGCAGGGACTTCCGGAGGTGGGTGGTGTAGTAGGGCGTGTGGCTCCAGCTGGGTCTAAGCCCTGTCATTTGGGGCCCAGTCACCCTACTCAGCACACACAGGACATCAGCACAGTCTGCATGGTGGAGCAGAGGAGCAAGGCACAACCTAAGGCCCCTCCTGACCCGCCCCTACCTGGAGACAGTGGGTCAGGTGTCTCCAGCTTTTTAATCTCAACCTACAGTAAGATGCACACGTTACACAGAGACCTTCATAAACAGCACTCTGCAATGCTTGAGGAAAGTGCACATCCTCATGACCCCAGCGCTCCAGGGGTGTCCAACCTGCAGCCTGGCTTTTCTTTAAAGCCCTCATTTTTTGGTTTTGTTTTGGTTTAGTTTGGTTTTTGAGTGAAGAGGAATTGTCTTGGGCCACATATAAAATGCATATTATAAGTAATATGTGTAAGTAACAAAACTTCCATATATATATACAGCATTATTATTACAACATTTTTTAAAGGAGGGTAGCCAGGCATGATGGCACACACCTGTAATCCCAGCACTTGGGAGGCTGAGGCAGGAGGATCGTTGCAAGTTGGAGGCCAGCCTGAGCTACAAAGTGAGCTCAAGCCCTGCCTGAACTGCATAGTGAGACTCTGTCTCAAAGACAAAAAAAAAAAAAAGATTAAATTTTAAAAAATGAAGGAAGGCAAAACAAAAATAAAAATAACCAAGGCGTGGTGGTGGTGCACACCTATAATTGCAGCACGTAGAAGGCTGAGCAAGGAAGATCACAAATTAAAATATAGCCTGGGAAATTTAATAACCTAGTAAGACTCTGTCACAAAAATGAAAAAGGGCTGGGGAGACAGCTCAGTGCAAAGACCCTGGGTTCAATCCCCAGTACTGCAAAATTTAAATAAATAAATATATATGTAAAAAAAAGTGTGATAGCTGGGTGCCCAGCCCCAGCCTGAGTACTTTTATGCACAGCCTATTTAGTTCCCAGAACAACCCCAGGAGGCTGGTGCTGCTGCACCCCTACTCTGCAGAGGAGAACATGGCCGGCCACTTGCTCAAGGATCCCCAGCTTGTTACAGGTGTGCGTCCCTGAACTCAGCCTTTATGAGTCCCACTGAACCAGGCAGAGTATGAAGCTCCTCACCTAGGCGGGTAAAGCTTCAGACCTGTAAGTGGGACCCCAGCAGGTTGGGAGGTGTAAAGCTGTAAGAGTATAAAGGAAAGGCGGGAGTTTGCAGAAAAGGGACAGTGGCCCTTCCCCAGCTCCTCCTTCAGAATCCAGAAAGCCATGTTAACTTAATTTCAATATAACAGAAAGACTCGGTGGAAGGAGCGAGGCTTCTTTAGTGGTCTCAGCACAAGGCAGCTTCCCCCAGACCCTGATACCCACTGACCGTCCCCAGCCCCTCGTTCCCCAGAGGTGGCCCCGGAGCAGAGCACCTTGGGCACGGGAAGCGCTGCTCAGAAGGCTCATGGAGGGGGGTGGGGATTTAGTTCAGCGGCACAGCACCTGCCTGTCAAGCGCAAGGTTGTGAGTTCGATTCCCGGTACCGGGGGAAAAAAAAAAAAAGGAAGGCTCATGGAGTTCTTTCACACAGGCCTGGGGCCCAAGGGGTGGATGCCCGTGCTGGTCGTGCTGCCAGTGGGGTCGAGGGCACTGTTAGGCCCAGGCAACAGTCACCCAGACAGAGGGCAGGGCCCAGACATGGGGCTTCCTGCCCAGGAATGCCACCAGCCAGCTGAAATTCCCAGCCCACGCGGCACCCGGAGGGCTGCAGGGGAGGGGTGGGGTCGGTGCTTCCCCCACCCGCATTGACTCCCAGTGGGAAATGTGTTGAGCTCGTCAACATCTCCCTGGCCACAGGGCCAGCACCCCTTTGGCTTCTAAATGATGGGGCAGGAGCCAGGTCATTAGCAGGGAGACTGTCATTAGTGCAGGTGATGCCACCACGCACAGACAATGGCAAACAGTCATTAGCAGCTGTGTCACAGGGTGAAGCAATGCTGGGGGAGGGGCAGTGCTGGCCCTGCGCACACTCGCACGCAGGTTTGCACACACGGACGAAGAATTAGACACACTTGAACACTTACATTAAAACAAAACGTGAATAGATATACCGGCACATCCACTCCTAGGGACTTAGACACACTTGCATATCCACATTCACACTCACACGGGGGGACAGGAGTGGGCATGTTTCACCTTCACACACAGAGGTGCAAGCAGACACGCTCACACTCTCACATGTTCACACGCTCATGTAGAGGAGCTCGAGAAGACATGCTCACACACATACCTGCTCAGTCACATTCACAGACAGTGAGCAGATACATGTTTACACACTCATAGACAGGGACACAGGTGACGCATGTGCACAGTTACACATCCATACCAAGCTCATGACAAGACACACATGCACACACACCTCGACCAAGAAGTGGACAGGGTCTTGAACACCCCCCACTACCCCAGAGGGGCCCTTGGGTCCTCTCGAAACCAGATCCTCGACACCAGATGGGTGTGTGTGTGTGCGCGTGCATGTGTGTGTCCTCTGCAACAGATGCACACATTCTCCAGGCCCGGGAGGAAAGGCCACATACCAAACCCATCACCCTACCCACCTGCTTCAGAAGCCCTGAGAAGAAACCAGCTCAAATGCAGCAGGGCCCTGAGGCAGAGCCCCCTCCTGTTCACCACTGCAGCCTCTCCTCTCCCAGCCCCAAGGCCATTTCTGGTAGCCCCCCATCTCACCCGGACTGTCACAAATCGGCTACAGTAGGCGGCTTCTGACCCCACAGTAGAGGACCAATGGAAGGTGGCCTGGGGATCAGAAGAGGGGGAGAAATGGAACCCAGACTGTCCCAGCTTGGAATTCCTCTCCCACCCTCCTCTCCCAGGCACTCTGGGTCAAGCTGAAGGGCTGGGGGAGCAGAGGCAGACAGAGGGTAGACAGAGTTTACCACCAGGCAGGGAGGGAGGTGGCAGGGAGCCGAGTGGAGGCTGAGTCCTCTGGTCATTTCCTCCATTTCCTCCATCACCCACCCACGGACTTTGGGCATTCATTTCCAGTTGCTGCTATAACAATTTGCTGTGAATTGAGTGCCTTAAGACAGCATGATTGCACTTATTTTTATGGATTTATATAAACTGTGTTTATTTCTACAGCTCTGGAGGTCAGAGGCCTGAAATGGATCCTACTGGGCTCAAGACAAGTTGACAGCAAGACTGAGGCTCCAGAGAAGAAGACATTGCCTCACCTTTCCAGGCTACCCATAGCCCTCACCCTTCCAAGGCCACCCACAGCCCTTGACTCCCCGTCCACCTTCAAAGCCAGCATGGCCAGCCAAGTCTTTTTTATGTCACACAGTCTTCTGCCTCTATCTTCCACATTAAAAGGACTCTGATAACGATATTGCCCCCACCAGACAACCTAGGGTCATCTCTGATTATTCACTTAATCACATCTTCGAAGCCCCTTTTGCCAGG